AGAAACCCTGTCTTAAAAAAAAAAAAAAAAAAAAAAAAAAAGAAAAGTTATGTATTTTGACTCTGTGTTTTGTGCAGACACTGACAGCTAGCTTTTTAAGCTCTGGAAACATTCTGGACTTAATGAGTTCAGTTTCCTCATTTGTAAAATGGGTATAATTATTTCTTTGCAGGGCAGTCTGTACAGATTAGTATAATAAGTATACATGGAATATCACACAGTACACTCAAGACAGAGTTGTGGTGGGAATGATGTTGAATAATATTAGAGTCAGTTAATTTTCGTTATGCCTGTTGATTTTATATGTTAATACAATTTGTGTGTATATATGATTTAGAGATGAGATTAACCCTTAGTGTTATATGCACAGCACTTTCTAGCCAGGGATTCCCTTTCAAGTTCATCCCCCACCCCCACCCCCCGCACCTACTCCCCCCACCCCCCCACAGGGTTTCTTTGTGTCATTTTAGTGCCTGTCCTGGATCTCGCTCTGTAGCCCAGGCTGGCCTCGAACTCATGAGATCTGCCTGCTTCTGTCTCCTGAGTACTGGGATTAAAGGTGTGCACCTCTGCTGCCTGGCTCACATTTTTTTCTCAATGTATAGTACTATGTCCTCTTCTTCATTAAAAGTCAGCTCATTATATTCCTTGATTATGAGGATCTGCTTACATTTCTAATATTAGTCCAAAACATGCTTCAACTTTGAAATAATCCATGAAATCTACAGGCTTTGCATTTTTGTAATATTTATTTTTTTCAAAGATGCACATTATGTAACAGACTCCTTTGAGAGTGCTGTTATAAAGTGTTCTTGCCCTTAATTATCCTGGTTAGAAATGTCAGGATAGTGAATTAACCTACTGTGCTCCAGATGGCTTACTTTTTTTTCCCTCTTGTCTTGTTATATCTAAAGAATATGGGATTGGTAGCAGAGTACTTTAACTTGATGTCACATTTGGGCAGTATATTATTTTCTGCATGTTATACAGTGTAAACATCCATTTGAAATATGAGATGCATAGCACATATTTGATAAGTTTGAACTTTTATCAACTTGTGAAGTAGTTTATACAGTTTATATTAACTATTGAAGATATTTAACATCCATATATTTATATAGTAGAATAAAGTCTTTTAAGGATGTATATGCATTTGTTGTATTTTAGATTATATTAATTTTCTCTTTGAAAAAGACACACTAAGGTTATAAATCATAGAATGTGACCTATGAAGTATTATTTCTATTAATGTCTTGAGGAAATGAGACTGTGTGTTCTCTTACATTCAGATCCACAGCAGAAGTGTTTAGATGTAAGAATGCTATAAGCAGAAAGATATGGTTGGTAATCTACAAAACTGATTCCATTATATTGGTAATGTTAACTGCTGTTTATATTGACATACTGTCTTACTGTAACATATATACCACTTACGGGTGAGAACACTGTTCTTTTTTAAAAACTCTATAAAGATTTTATTCTTAAGTCCTAGTTCAGTATTCTTACTAGGTTGTTCTTGTTAGGTTGGGGTTTGGGAAAAGTGGTTATTTGGATATTCATTGTATACTAGTTGAGAACTAAAATTAGATATCATGAAATAGAGGTGAATTATTTAACACAGAAACTTGAGTAACTTCTAAATTCTTCACTTCTGTATGGAATAAGTACAAATGTTTAAATTTGTTAAGTAAATTCAGTTTACTGAAATGAAGCCTAAAGACCCATTTCTACATATTCTTAAAATTTACATATATTAACCTAAAAATCTACTCCTTTTAAGCACTAGTGATAACATTATGCCACTAATAGATTATTTGATTCCAAAGATGGCATATTATTTAATTTAGCCTGTGAATTTAAGGACTAGTTGATTTTACTCTGAATTAGTCACACGTTTTACATTGTAGTAATGTTTTTAGAGGTCAGATAACGTACAGAGAAAACTATGTAGTCAGTTGCATCCATGGAAATTAAAGTGCCCTCCTTTACATATGCACTCATTATTGCCTGTCTATGAAGTACTGTGCCTTTTCCCATTTGGTTTCTAAATTTATGTCTTACTCACAGATTATTGTTTTCAAATTTATTTATTTAATTTAGACAAAAGATTTACTTTTATTTGATAATCTTTGTGTGTTTGCCTACATATATGTGTATGTACCACAGGAATGCCTGGTGCCTGTAGAAGGCAGAAAAAGGCATTGTATCCCCTACAACTGGAGTTAGAGCTATCATGTGGCTACTAAGAACTGAATCCTGGTTCATAGAGATCTATTTGCCTCTGCTTTCTGAGTGCAGGTATCAAAGGAGTGTGTTATCATGCTTGTCCTCAAATTTATTTTTTTTACATCAGCATATAAAATTTTGTGTATTCAAAATATACATAATGATGTTCTACTGCATATATATGATTACATGTAGCTAATTAACAAATGCATTATCTCATAGTTATTGTAGTCAGAAAACAAATCTCTTAGAATTTTTCAAAGTCATATTCTAAACTATAGTCCACTGGGTTCTTCTACAGGGGATTTCTTGAACTTACTCCTCCTGTCTCTGTAGACATGTACTATTTAATGAATATCTCTCCAATTCCTTTCACTCTCAACTATCCTAGCCTGTGATAACTCAATCCTACTCTCAAACTCTAACAAATAACTTTATATTGTATGTATGAATGAAGATCATGCAGATTTTTTCTTTCTGTGCATGCTTAATTTCTCTAAGTGTAATCTCTTTCTGTTCTTCCAAGTTACTGCAATTTATAGGGTTTCCTCCTTTATATGTCTCAATGTACTACTCAATTAATTGTGTGTATGTACATTTTTTTTTGTTTTTTTGTTTTTTGTTTTTCGAGACAGGGTTTCTCTGTGTAGCTTTGCGCCTTTCCTGGAACTCACTTGGT